TATCTAGGAGGTCGGTTTAGAAGGCCACTCTTAATAGAAGGCCACCCTAAAAAGTTTGATCCGACGGGACACAAGAGAAAGCCATGCCCTTCTATTCTGGGGGGGGGTTTATTTAAAATGTAGGATAGAATGGAACAAGCAGCGCTCATCTACGATTCGCTTTTTTCCGTGACTCCAGTTTTGTGTAGCTCGACATCTCAGCCAGTTTAGATTCATCAGTGAGGTCAGTAAAGACATATTCTTACGTAACTGCACGAATTCATAGAAAATAGACTACTTTCAAGCGAAGCGGAAAGGTTTCCAATTGTGCGATATTTCAGATGGACCTGGCTGAGATATCATTCTAGACAAAACCAAAACCATGGGACGAAGAGAACACACTATGAGTTCTTCCAAAATTACACTGATCAAATCAAGAAAATTTTTATGCCAAAATAAGTATCTGGAGAACATATATTTTAAAAGCAGCATCCTTGTTCAAAAGGGCATCAAGTCGTTTCCGTAAAGCGTTAGATACTAGAATTTGACACCATTCGAGCCGCCTTAAAACGGAGAACAAAGTTATAGCCCCAAATAAAAAAAATTGTTCTTTCCTCTCGACCGACTTTACTTTTATTTGAAAGAACGGTGGCAACGGCCAAGTGGTTACTACTAACTCTCTCAGTTTCATTCAAAAGCTGTGAAATTAGCAGGAAATAAGTAACCAATGACACTGAGTCTGATGAAGGTCATTACAAAGTTCGTGGAGGCTTTGTAGCAGTGGTGCTGGGTGTCTGTATGAGGAGATGACACGTTTGAGGTCACACCCTAAAGTTTGAGCTTTGAGCTGACAAATTTTGAAAGAAAAATCACTTTCACATTTCAAGGCTATCTCAACTTGCTACACTGCGGGCATTTTTTTAATTTTCTTTTTGATTTTTTGTTATTTTTATTCATTCTTCAATTCTTCTCAATCACTTTTTATTCATACACTCCATATATACCTATTGCAATACTATATGGGTCTTCATTCTAATCGCATTGTGCATGTATCAAAGTATCGTTGTGCATATCTATTTTGCTATTTACCTCAACTTCTTTCATACTATGCCACTTTCATATTCATTCACATCGCCACTGCTGGCCTCGTCCCTCGTGTCTCCACCGCCGATCCCAGTTCAAACAATTACCGACGACGTCGGCAAACTTTTCTTCAACATCTCCTTGTTCACAACTACCACAGCACACTTAGATCAATGCGTCCTAGAACTACAACAACGTGTTATCAGCCACTACTCGACACTATCCGCACAATCGTTCACTTCGTCTATCCATTGTCACACGTTCAACGTGCACACGAGATTTTACTCGACCTCACGGCTACGGTCGCTACTGCTGAACACCGTATAATGCATCTTCTTCATGTGCATAACACACCGATCGCCCCGTCACTCAATTCTCGTGTACCCGACGACTTCCAACCTGATTCTCTATCGTCAACCAAGTCCGAACTCATATTTCTCGATTAAAACATTTATTTCATCAGCTCTCGCATGTTTTTAGCTTATGGTAAATAGTTTTTCGTTTCCATCCTATACTTCCTCTCTCGTACGTTGTCTTTTATTTTTGCTGCTTTTTGTTTTTCTTTGATTGGTACTACTCTTCATGTTCTTTTCCTGCCTCATTCCAATCTAGTACATCTCTCGGTAGAGCTACTCTCTTTTGTTTCGTTCTGTCCCTTGTCTATTTTTGTTCTTTTGCGGTTCTTATCTTGTGTGCATGCAATAGTAAATATATATATCAGTATTTTTCTTTTGTGAGTTTCTTGTAGTTTGTGGCAAAGAGTAGTTGAATAAAAGTATAATATACATACAACATGTATTATAACGCACACATACAATAAACTCTCAAAGACTTATAATTAGACGAAATATAAGTCGTCACATAGTGAAAATCTACATACTTCATCTGCATGGTTTTGGAAAAAAACAGCCATTTGGGTTATGCACTTTCATAGTTTAATAAGCACTATGGACTTTAGTTTACTCATTCAGCACGTCCTGATAATTTTTATGTGCGCGCACTTAGAGTTTATTTCTGTGACAAAAAGAAAATTTCATAACAGTACTGTTATAAGTGGTACGATAAATCAAGGATATTGCTCTTTTGCTGCGTCGTGGTAATTACAAGTATTGTTGAAATAAAACTATGGAAAGACTACGTCACCAAAGCATGGGATGATCAGATTACCTTGGGCTACGAGCGAGGTGAGAGAGAGTGTAAACTAGGTACGCACCGGTATCGGTACCGAAAATACCGACTTCTTTCGATTTGGACTTTTCTGGATTTTTCCATCTAAAATGAAGTATTTTAGTGTCATGGACAATCAGAACACAAAAAACACTCAGCAGTGTAGATAGAAAATAAAGGAAAACTTTGACCTTAGAAAGCAAACAAAGCTCTTGTTTGCATCCTTGATTCTATCGGGGTGTCCAGGATACTAAACTATATGATTTCAGATGAAAAAATCGAAAAAAATCGGTATTTTCAGTATCGGTATATACCGAAGTTGCGTATTTTCGGTATTCGGTATACCGATACGGCTGCATACCTAGTCCAAACTACCAAAATTATGATTACCCAATACCGCATCAATTCCTTCAAGCTAAGTTTCTGTTCTGTGGCCTAAACCCAAACGCATTTAACACTTGGCAGGTGCTGAATAGTCGCAAGCTGTAGTCAAACAATAAACTAAAGAGAAGACTGATTTATTGGCTTTTATTCTCTATCTAACTATAAACTCGCTATGGATGAATAATTTACATAGAAATGTCACAGTCGAATGGACAAGTAAGGCCAGCTTGAAAGTGTTTATGGTAATTTTGCATTTGAAATGGGTTGAGGCTGTCTATACTTTGTTGTAAGGATTGCTTTAGTGCTTGTAGTTTAGAGTGTATAAAAGAATCTTTTAATTTAGAAAAGGAGCTTTTAATTGAAACTAACGCGAATTTCTGTCATGTCGGCGTGTTCCGTATAGTAAAACGTGCTACGTATTTCATCAAAAAAACAGAAAAGAAAAGGAAAAAAAGAAGTAACTGTAACTATAGGCGAATTGTGTGTACTTATTATCGACAGCGTGTCATAATAAAGGAGGACAGAACAGATTTTCAAGAGGAAAATGTTTTCGACAGTGAGTCAACGTCAATCTCTCGGTTGTGTTTTCTTTTTTAGAAAGTTGAAAAGTGTACACAGTCAGAAACTTTTCGAGTTATTTATTTCAGATATTTATGACTACTTCCACCACACTTCTTACTAGCTCATGGCCACCAGTACGTGTACCTGTCACAGCTGAAGCCGTCCGAGGAATAAGCGATTGGTCTCACTGGGTTATCAAACCGTCCGACACTGCATCTCACGGTGGTCTAATTGCCGGTGCTTATCCTGGTCATAAAGATCCTGCTCAACACAAACTACTCATTCGTCACTTAATTCAGACAGTTGGTGTTTCTGTGTTTGTTAACTTAATAGAAACTGATCAACTTCCTCGTTTTACGCCGTATATTGATTTAGCTAAAGAAGCAGCAGTCAGTACGACTACTAAGACTACATCAAAGGAAGATATTCATTTTATTCCATTTCCAATTGTTGACAGTCGAGTACACACAGATCCAGCTCAAGTTCTTAAAATTTGTTTAGATATTATTGAATTAGTTAAACAGGGTAAAATTATCTATGTTCATTGTTGGGGAGGACATGGACGAACTGGAACGTTAATTTCAATTATCTTAGGCATTGTCTATGATCTAGATGGTGATCAAGCATTGGAATTGAATGGAAAATTACATGATCTAAGGAAGATTACAAATGGAATACCAAGTCCAGAAACTGATGTACAGTTAAAACAAGTTAGAGAGGTATTGAATAAGTATCATGCAGAGAATAAGAAGCAGAAGATTTAGTCCGAGTTATTTGACAGAAATAAAAGAATTTTGTATGGTATTCGGTGATCCCTTTGTGTAACTCAGTGATTATGTTAAAGGAGGCACGACAGCTAGCCTCCAGCTCTTTGTTCAAAATGCCAAAATACACATTTTGCCAACAACTTTTATTTTGTTTAAAAACTATTAAACTCTGGTTGGATAGAAGATTGTTAGGCACATCTGAATCTGTTATCGGTTCTCTAAATTTACTTGTTCTTGGGTGGAAAATCAAGTTTTTCTCATATAGTCTCCAGTCTGGAGTGATTTCGATTAAAAATGTTATAACTCAACAACGAAAGTAGATATCGGAAAACGGTTTCCACCAATAAACGCCCATCAGATTCTACACAAATGCTGTTTCAATCCTTCTTTTTTCATAAGTTTTACAGGTATTTAAATACATCTATGTACAGGATGTTGAGCGCGAGAGATAAGGATAGAACAGTGAGGGGGCAAAGTACAAAATAACATTGCACAGTGAACGGAAACGAACACCTGAATTTCAAATTCAAATGCAAATAATTTACTTTTGAATTAAATTGTCCGCAAATCGCTAGCTGTCAAATGATGCAATGCATGCGACCTTACTTGCTGGATGTGACGCATAATGCTGAAGAAAACGTGAGTGGTCTTAGCAAGGTCAGGCGTTTTACTCTAGAACTTGATGTGAAAATTAATGAAAAAAGTCAATCTTTCTCATGATTGTTGCCATGCATTCTAATATTTCTTTATAATGCAATTTTATTCATACACACCAATGGAAAAATTGAAATAAAGGATAAATAATAAATCGTATCGTTATTTTTTAGTAACATAGTTGTGCTGTGTAAATGATTTCTTGATTTGAGAAACAAGGAATAATTTTTCGAAAGATGTATTTTTTAGTGACCAAACGGTGAGAGATCCGTTCTATAAAAAGTGAAATCAAGTTAATGCAACAGTCTATCGTAACAACCCTCCACATTCGCCTTTTTCTGTTTAACACATTGTACTGTTTCTTAGCTCAGCACATGATATCGCGAAACCGCTAAAGTGTGAGCTTCATTGTTATATGCAATAAGAAATGGTGTAGTTTGCTTCATACAATTCAGGTTACTCAAACAGCCAAGTAATTAAAGGCCCTTGTTGTCAAATGAATGGGTTCACGAATTTAAATGGAATCGTGCGAGCAGCAATAATAGTATAAGATGAAAACTGTTAATGAATTAGCATGATCTCTGATTAGTTTAATGAAATAATGATAATATTTCACATCAAAATCGAGATGCTCACAAAACATACCATTTACCTGTCGGTATGTTTTGGACGAAGGAACACTCACAAGTGATGAATCGGTATTGGGATCCAAAATACGGATTTGTAGATAATCGACGATGCTGATTATGAATCTGACAGAAATCTATTTAGAAAATCCTTCCGAAAAAAGAATCTATCCGTATGAGACACGAAACCGGCTCTTTATATTTTATCGTTCAAATTTGTCCAAAAATCATCAGAATCATCTAATTCGATATTTCGACCCTGTTGAGCGTTTCAAATTAAATCACGAAAAACTGCTCGAAAATAGGTATAACCAGCCTATCGGGATTGCAATAGTAAAACAAAAATTCCTTCGTAACCATCAACTATTTGGCTTCGTGTTATGTACAATTCGATGCTCCTGGAAAAGCTCTACAACATGTGTTAATAGCACGTTTAACGACGCCTGGCAGTGGTCTGTGTGAAGAAAATACTAAGTTTTTTCTTAGATCACACACAGGTAGACTTTTGGCTAGCCCTGAAATCGCACGTAAGATACGTAACCGATCACGCAGAATCTGATGGCAACGTCTCTTTTTTCGAAGAGAACGAAAAAACCTAGTGAATTAACTTTGATTAAAACTGGGGTTTCAAGGCTATTATCGCCTAGTTAAAATATTAAAAAATTCACAGCTCACTCAAATGATATCGGAACGAGTTGAAAACTTCAGAATATGATCAAAGTTGTACAGCACTTGTGTGAACGTGCACCGAATGCTATTTTACGATCGAAAAGGCTGAAAAGCCATGCACTTTTCAACTGTTTCCTACAAGACCTTTCGAATAACACGAAGGTTTGGAAATTCAATTTTTTGTGGTCTTGTTTTCAATAAACTATAGAAATAGTCTAAATACTGTACCTTCTGACGTTTTCAACTCATTCTGGTATTATTATTAGATAAATAAAGAGTAAGAAGCAAAAAAAACATCATACGACAAGATGTAAGATAGGATAAGGTCATTTTGATTGACAAGTTTCAGAAGAAAAACACAAGCTAGGCATATGAAATTTGTTGGTAGAGCAGTTGGAAATAAGTATTTGTAAATCGAATATAGAACGGCTATGAATTCATAGCAGTTCTATATTCGATTTACAAATACAAGCTAGGCAATCAGCGCACTAAACCATCTAGATAATAAAGCATTTAGTACTAAAAATAAAGTATTAAATGACTTAGTAACGATATTTTTTCTTACAATATTTTCACCAATTAACAAATTTATCGATGGAAATTTTGACAGCTTTCCTAAAAATGAAAAATTTTGTGAAAGTTAAGACATTATTTACCACATAAAGTGACTATAATAATGACTATTCAAAAAATATAAGTGACACATAATGACTATTCAAAAAATCTTACTGGTATTAAAGTAAGAATAACAATTAAAAAACGTGATCTGTAGCAAAAAAATATTTTTTTCATGTGCCAATAACTGCTTCATAAAATGAATTATAAAGAACAAAATAATCTAGAAGATTATTCAATCGTTTGGTTTGAAACAACTGAAATAAATATTGATTGCAAAGTCGGACTTCGTCAAATAGTTAATTTTGTAAAAGTATGTCATACTGTTGACGAATGCATGAACTATTTAACGGGAATGCAGGATGAGAATAATGGAAAAGTTATTTTGATTTTGGTAAATGAATTCTCAGTTATTCTGTCACTCGTACATGACTTACCGCATATATGTGCTATTTATGTTTATTGTGACAGCACTACACAAGCAGAATTGACAACTAGTTACAAAAAGGTATTAACTCTATACTTGTCACATTTTTACCAACTTTTAGGAAAATTTTAGTAGCTTTTGAAAGCACAGATTGTTCTCTCTATTCTGTTATGCGGACCATAAGAAATATCACACTCCATCAAAAGGAGTATCACAAACAAGGTCATTATTCGATTAAAGTTGATAATATCGAGCTAGTTTGATTATTAAATTAAGATTATTTGGAGCACTTATCCATGCGGATACAAAGTAATAGCTTCTAATTGAGTTCTGTGCAGAAAAACAGAGAAAAATGTTTTGCCAGAATACATCCTTCTTGCACACTAGAAATGTACATACTGCCTGTGCACTGTGGTTCATTGCTTTTCGTTCATGAGCGTCTGAAACAACTTTCAGATATCCAAACAACATTGTTGAATGAACAAATGGAGGCAAACAACTTTGTTTGTTACGAATCCTAAATATGTATGTAAGAACTTTAATGAAATATAAAATAATAGCGGCAGATTCTGACCATTTCGTAATCTAGCGTTTTAGAGCAAAACGTTTGCTGATGCTGACTTAGCGTGTAGTTGGTCAGTCAACGGATATCATTAGAAAATTTGGTGCTTGCTCCGCGCTGAACCAAATTGGATAAAAACTGGGCGCCAGATACAAAATTTGTCGGTGGATCCGACAGCGGGTTCCTTATAATTACATCTTCGCTTCTTTTTAGGCGTCGACATAATCAACATGGTTTTGGCCTAAATTTTATTTTTTTTCATTGGTTAAAAAAAAAGGCGCCAATGAGAAAAATAAAATTTAGGCCAAAACCACGTTGATTATGTCGACGCCAAAAAAGAAGTGAAGATGTAATTATAAGGAACCCGCTGTCGGATTCACCGACAAATTTTGCACCTGGTGCCCAATTTTTATCCAATTTGGTTCAGCGCGGAGCAAGCACCAAATTTTCTAATGGTGTTTCTTGATGATAATGTAAGTGATACATTCAAAGCTCGAAATAAACCAACATTATAAATCGATTTTGACGAAAGTCGCATTATGGTCTTCCTTGCAATTTTACACTGTCTTCTCTACTTTATTAGTCAAAATACTATCTACCAGTGGAATTCATCTATGTTATTTCCTGTACCTGTATCGAAGGTACCGATTTGACGGATCGAGAATGAAATCACTTGCTGTGTGATGGTTTGTGCCGACTCGGGTGATGCTCTTGCGACATGTGCAGCCATATGTCAGGTTTGGAATCGAACATGAGGCACCGCACATCAGTAAAAGAAAGATGACAGCTACATTTTTACGATAGCAGGCTACTTGCAAGACTGTGCTCGCGTTCGGCTCGATTCGATTGATTTCATCTACAGTCATATGTCCCAAATAAGATGTCACTCGAGGGATACATTGATCGAGCACACGTTATAAAAGTCGCTTGTTTCTGTTGTGGGCAACTTCGGTTGTCGTGCTCTAAATTTCATCATAGTGTCTATCTCCCCAAGTAGACGTGTAAATCACTTTGCTGTTCTAACTCTCTATGGTATGGATATCGCTTTGCGCTGATTCAGCATACTGCTAGCTCTGAAATGCAGTGTTCCTAGAGTGAAAACTTTCACCTGCTTACCTGCGACGGCCGTTGATTTGTTTTTCAGTTTCTTTCACGAAATCGACTGAAATGCAGTCATATTAATGATAGTAGGATTGAAGTCTGAAAGGTCAGATGAATCACAATTCTATCGACAGTTATATATCGATTTAGAAACGCTCGTTCTGTTGTATTCATGATGCAACAGCACAGAAAAGGCACTATGTCGCAGAGAGAGAGAGAGAAAGAACGCAAGAGCACAGAGCAGAGAGACATGTTTTTTCACAAAGCTGCGTCGTTCTCTCAATCAGATCCCTATTAGAGTCACTCAGAATATCAGTTGTGTTCCTATCCAGGCGGGCGACAT